CCTATAACACACCTGGCCGTGCCGACAAATTATCATACCGCGCTAATGCGCGGTATTCAATTTGTCGATTCGGCCAGGTGTTTTATAGGACCGAAGGTATCCCAGAATATGAATCCAATGCTTAAGTAAATGTGGTTAACTCTTCTTACCCACTTTAACTTATCTGTTAAAGATATTGGTGTTAGCTAAAATAAAAAAGCCTCTTTTAGCTCACCTCGACGAAGTTTGGGAGAGCTTTAGTGATGCACCGTCGGTTTCCCAGTTTTAGGTTGTCTTTTAGGAGCAGTTTCTTTGTACAATGTAAGTACTTCTATGGCCTATATCGATAATGTGACCGATGTCCTTCCCGGCCCTGTCACTGGTTAATAAATACGATAGTTTTTATCTACGTAGTTTATTTACATATTTACAACACGTGCAATATATTCACAGTAATTTACAAGGTTTACAATTACAAGACTTCCACTCTCCTTGACTTCCAAACATATTTTTTCTTCTCGCACATTATCCTTGGCCATACCAAATCTCTAATTCCCAAGTTTTTCACCCAACATCAACCTAATGCTCACCTTCATCTCTTAAATCTCTGTCAAGAACAATAAACAAACGATAGCAGAAATGACAAACAAGCAAATTATAAATCCATGTTTTCTCACTTTCTTTTCCCTCTAACAAGATAAGAGGAGATTCTTGGGTAATAGGGCCATAACGTCGCCAGCGTTTGTAACCTTATCAGACTTCCTAACTCTCACATTTATAATTAAGGCGATTGCTCTGAGACGATTAGACATACATGGAAGATGCTTGTAGAGTGTATCATTGTACTTGTCTTGTTGTTTCAGATGCAGCAATTCCAGCAAAGGAATGACAATGTTAATGTTTTTGGAGTAGGGTAACAACTTTATGTCCCCGAGATCAAAAATTCGGAGGTATATAGTTTTTGTAGTGAACGACCGTCTGTCTACCTGTCTCTATCTCAGTCTATCCACAAATATGAACATTGCCCATATTTTTTTAGTGGAGATACACGTAGGGCTTTTTTATTCTATACTGTATTCCTTGTGACAGGCCTTTATTTTGGTACCGCCAAATTCGACCTTGACCTTGGAATTCGACCCATTTTTACACAAAAATCCAAACAAATGCTTTGGACACGAATTTTAAATTGTGGATGCTAGGTTTTCATACATATGTATTCCTTGTGGCAAGATCTTTTACTGGATACATGTACCAACAACTTTGACCTTGCCTATCGAATCAACTGATATACAGTGTATATAAACTCCGTATGCAGGTGATGAATATATTACTGCATAAGTAAGGAAAATTGATGATAAAAAAAGATAATGTCAACACCTTTATCATTGAGCTTGGTTACAAGATTACCATTAACGTCATTTTCAAGTAAAATAAGATGTGTCAGACTAGAAAAGTTTTATCTTCTCTATGTTTGAATTCGGCAGAAATTGGAGTGTTTCACAAACACAATATTTTGTTAAAATGTTGAATTGTTACAACTGAACAGGATTTTTTTTTTAACATTTACGGCGTGAAACTGAACTTTTGCAATAGACTGTAATAACTTTCATGATGCTAGATTTTAGAAAGTAATGCAAATTCTTAACAAGGAAAGCAGTCGAACAGACAAGAATAAAGTTTTCCCGCGTTTCGTAGAATAGCGGGAAAACATTGTATGATAGGAACGTATTTTATTGGAAATGCCTGTTTATGGTAGGCGTGGCCAAAGGAAGGCCAATGAGAAGGTGGTATTTTGTGAGGTGTTGGATCATTCTAAGCCAGTGCTCCGCAGAACACACACGTGTTTTTGTTTATATTTATATTCAAATTAATACGTCTATATGAAATATATAATGGAATATTGTCATATATTTTGATTTTGCTTTATTGTACATTTACATATACGGTGTTTATGCATACCTAGTACTGCTCCGAATGCACGTCCGGCATTCTCCCTTGAGGCATTATTTACATAGCGACGGACACAGGTTTTCCATAGTTACTCGTCTATGGTTTTTTCCTGGGCTGTTTTTAATGTCTTTGATAGGGGTATAATGCATAGCATGGAACGCATAGTTAACCAAAACATTGCAGTACTTCATTGATCACATACACAATAATGTATGCCTGTTTGTTATGAATTGTTATTAAATAAATGCCAGCTGCGCCCATTAAGCTAGCCTGGCTTACAGCTTAAGTGTTGTATTATTTGAGGCGTAGTATGTCAAATAATGAATGAAGATTATACAGACTATTATCTTACGCATTAGAGTCATGATGATGTTTAGAGAAGACAGAGGTGACAAGTGACATCAGCTGCAATGTGTCTGTGTCTAAGCAAATGCACAGGACTGATAAAGAACGGATACAGAAACGGCGATTTTTTAAATTAACTTTTAAAAATTCTGTTTGAAGGGCAAATTTTGTACCATATCATGGAGTCTCTACTTTTTTGCAGAAAAATATTACAAAGATTGTCATCCCTATATCAGTCACGGTAAGATATTTCTAATCCAAAACGCCCAAACATGGTCAAAGGATGACTGAACAATTTAGGAAGTGTTATTTACCAATGTCTTTGGGGATCCCTAGGATGGGTTTTCTTGTCATGGGTACAAAGACCTGAGACATGTTTAAAGGGTAACAAGAGATACTGGTATTTTGAGGGATTGACACGATTGAAAAAAACTGTTTTATATATTTTCAAATGAAAAATGATCTTTACATGCTGTGCTATACTTTCCAAAGACAGATTCTTGTCAGCGTTTTCAGTGCATCAGATTCTAACTTATAGATCCGCCGCTCTATGTATGTAGTGCACATTGGATTTCTGTTATTCTGTTGTTTAAAAATTCTGTAAATACTAAGGGTGAACGGCGTTTTCATCATTTAAAAACATGTCGACTTAAAACAAAATAAGTTAAAACTTGTACCGAGAATGGAACTTTAATTACATGAAATTAAAATGATTTACATATTGAAACATGGCTTTGCTATTCTTGGGAATATTTTTTTAAAATACATTATAATGTAAAAGAAGAAGGTATGGTTTTAGCTTTATTACGCCCTAAAAATGTAATTACATCAAAAAGTTTTGAAACTGGCTTAAAAATTAGTTACACAAATTACTCTGATAAATCAGGAAAGAATATGGCATAAAGGTTTACCATTCTGCAAATATGACGTCATTAACGTGAAGCGTTTCTCTATTTTCAACAGAAAAAGCCTCAAAATGGCAAATATCAAGGGTGATTTTCCTTTGGAAAACAGTGTCCACTGCCGTCGCCCACGTTAATTTTTTGATATTTTGTGCAAAATTCAACAACAAATCACATATCTAAAGATCTTTGTGGGCGATGCCTGTGCACAATGTTATCTGAAAGAAAATTCCATTGAAAATTGGCGTCTTCTGCAACTTTTTAAGAAAATACTGGAAAATGCACAGTCATGTTTATGAGTCAGAATTAGCATTTAAAACACATGTGAAAATAAATTATTTGTATGATTTTTCTGCACTGAATTTCAATCATTTAAAAAGCATGAGTTTTCAACTTTTACACCAGTTTCACTTTTTAGAAAATCACAGGGCAAAATTTGTATGAAAACCATACCTTCTTCTTTGGATCCCCCATCGTGGCCCCACCCTATCCCTGGGGGTTATGAATTGAACAATCTAGAATCTACATTACCCGAGGAAGATTCCATATATATATCACTAATCATTGCTTTGAAGTACTTGAGAAGATGATTTTCAAAAGATGTCCCTAAATATTCCTACGTTAAACTTTGATTGGCCATTTTGACCCCACCCTATCCCTAGGGGTCATGATTTGAACAAACTTGAATCTACACAACCTGAGGATGATTAAACATGAGTTTAAACTTTCCTAACCCCGTGGTTTTTGAGAAGACGATTTATAAACATTTTTTTTTCTAATATACACCTATGTTTAACTTTGATCAGCCATTTTAATGACTTTGGCCCATCCAGACCTACTTGAAAATAAGATTTCATTTTTTTTCTATATATTCCTATTTAAAACTTTAATCGGCTTTTTTGCCCCACCCTATCCCCTTGATTCGAACAAACTTGAATCTATACTACCTGAGTATGATTCCACATGAGTTTCATTTATCCTGACCCAATGGTTCTTGAAAAGAAGGTTTTAAAAGATGTTTCCTATACATTCATATGTAAAACTTTGATCAACCATTTTGGCCACCGTCTACATTGTGCCCCAGGGGTCATGATTTAAGCAAACTTGAATCTACACTACCTTATGATTATTTCACATGAGTTTCATATTTCCTGTCTCAATGGTTCTTGAGAAGATGATTTTTAAATGTTTTTCCTATATATTTACATGTATAAATCTGTGATCAGCCATTATGGCCCCACAGTACCCCAAGGGTAATGATTTGAACAAACTTGAACCTACACTACCTGGGGATGATTTAACATGTGTTTCATCTTTCCTGACCCAGTGGTTCTTGAGAAGCTTTTTTGAAAATGCCATAAATTATAATCATAATAATATACCCTTGGAAAAGGGCGTGGCCCTTTATTTGAACAAACGTGAATCCCCTTCACCTAAGGATACTTTGTGCCAAGTTTGGTTGAAATTGGCGCAGTGGTTCTTGAGGAGAAGGTGAAAATGTGAAAAGTTTACAACGACAACAGCGAATACGACGACAACGACGAGGAAGGACATATTTTGTTCAGAAAAGATCCCTTGAGCCTTCAGCTCAAGTGAGCTAATAGTTTGAATAAAAACAATTTTAACAATGTTTGAGTTATATTTAAAGGCAATATATTTTGTAAATGTATCTTTTAAAACAAAAATAAAGTGCAAGATTCTTCTGAAACTTCACTGTAGATAGAAAAATCCGATTCATTCGAGTATTAAACATTTCAAATAATTCCAAACCAATTAAACAGTTCAAAATTTACTTGGAATATGTACTTTGTATTTTTCAAGGATTTATTTACTTTTTAAATCCCAATATCTAGTTAACACAGTGATATCGATAATATGCCGATCAGTGACTGAATGCAAAGGGCACATTATTTTACGGTCTTCTTTCCGAATCTCTGATTCCGGTAAAAAATGTTTCATAATATCCATTGCAATTGCCACTGTGTCGTCGGTTCGACATCTAAAGCCTCTAACAAACTGTATTCTTCTGTAAAATGATCCTGACAGATTTTCCAATATTTCTTCTATTCTTTTTTGAATTGTGCATACTTTTTCTCTTTCCAAAAAGTATCCTGCCACCGGATGAAATGCTTGAAGTTGTATAGAATCTTTAGTGACAGACAAAACGATGTTGTATTCACGATTCCTAAACAAAGCAGCGTTTCTGTACAGGCAAGATGTGCTATCATTTTTTAGTACTTTCCAATCATCTTCTTGCATACAAGCAACAACAAGACGGTAAAACAAGAAAAATGGCAGAAATTCAAATTGATAAACAAGGACAGATGATTTACTTTCCGATTCCTTGATGATATCTGGGAGTTCTTTTTCTATTTCCTTACGATTCATGCACGGAATGTAGTGAGATTCCGAACCAACGGCCAACAAACCGAGTCTTTGCATAAAATTAATAATTGATTTTTTATGACATTGCAGATACCGTTTATCTTTCTCATATGATCCGCCTTTAATTTTGTGATTTTCATCATCTTCCTTAAGCTTTTTAGACAACTTTTCATCTTTATGTTTCCAGATCTCTGTCAGAAGCTTGTCTCGCAAATTTCCAGTCACGTAATATTCATCCCAGTCCCTTTGGTTTACAGGAATACCTGCGAAATGTAGTTTGTCTGTGATGATATGTTTGAAGGCGTCAATAAACCATTGAGCATCAATTATAACCTTTTCCTCCAGACCATTTTCATTAAAATATAAAGCTTTTCCGGCATCATGATAATAACGCAGCATATCTTGTGTTTCCTTTTTAGCTTTATATGAATCTGCCTGTTCTTTAATCTCTGGTACTTTCGTTGTTATTTCTGAAATCTTTAAGATCCGCTCTGAGTGTTTTTTTTGGTTAATTTCTAATCCAAAGAAGGACCACTCTTTTGGAATGCTCTCGTTCCATCGTTTATCGGAAGCTATGTTGAAGAAGCAAGTCTCTAAATCATGGAGAGGTAAAGTAACGTCGGTACAATAAACGTTTTCCTTTGTGACGTACTGTGGTAAATAAGATGTCTCTGGACACTGACGGTGCAAGCGCTCAATCAGTTCCTCTTTATCCTACATTGATAAAAAGTAAATTAAAAGTGGTAATTAAATATTAAACTTTTTCCCGTTCTGTTTAAATCATCTGACACTGTGTTTTCTTTTTATTTATGTTCCATATAAATCATCATTTTCACCTACACAGAAAAGATCCTGGAGCGATACATTTATTGAAATTACTCTTTGAAAATATATAATTTAGAGAGGTATCCAAAATTATGAAAATGATATAATTATTATTGCCTTTCTAATACTTGCTATAATCATATGGAAATAATCAAAACACATTACATACAATATCGATTAATTCGGTATCATGATAAAATGTATTTTATTCAATAACGACTATAACAGATCACTAAAACATTACACTGCAATGGGTTTAGGATTTAATTTCTTTGAGAATTTAAAGAAAAATGATAACGGTGTGTATATGAAGAGTTCATTAGATGAAAATAGCTCACCCTAAACTTTCTGATGTCTTCTTTCCAATGTGTTGCAACAATTATAACTGTGGGTTTTGTATCTTTTTGTTTGTCAGAACCACAGTATGTGTGTATAGACTTTATCCAGAACACAAAGTAGTCTTAAATAGAGAGGAATAAAAATACCTTTTAAATTTAGATTCCGAAAAAAAAATACTCTTAATAAAAAATCAATTTTGCGGCTTTTGCAGTAGTTTAAAGTCCACTCATTCTTTTCATTCTTAACAGGAAACATATATCACACAAGCAGTGCAATCTAGCAAAAAGTATACATTCCATCGCGATTGTCTTTTTCTTGCACTCATTATGTTATTTTTTTTTCATTATTTGATAGTACATGTAATAATTACGTTAATAATTATAATGATAATGCAAACTTAATAAACAAATATTCCCCACGATAGGTCTCGGCTTTTTTATATCAATGACAGCCGCTTTTTCAATAAAAAATGAAACTCGTAAATTTCCTTACCTGGTCATTGGTCATTTGCAAAATTATTTTGTTAAACATGTTAAAACACATTCTGATTGCACACACAAGTACTCTGAATTAGACATCAAGAAGATGCTTGAGCTTCTGATTGACAATATCTATGTGGTTTAATGAGACCAAGTATTCCACGAATCTATTGGAATTCCAATGTGTACATGTAACTATTGCGCTCCGTTATTAGCAGAACTATTTTTATATTCATATGAAGCAGATGAAAAGAAGAAACACTTGTTGTGGCGTTCAAATTGTCATTTAGATATATCGAAGACGTATTGTCAATGAACAAAGGTAATTTCCATTCCTACGTCGATGTGATATATCTTGCGGTGAGCTTGCGGAAAAAAAGTACCACAGAGTCTGATTTACCTGTTTCATACTTGGATATTTCCCTGTACACGTGCATGTATTAAAGGTAAAAGATTACAAAGGAAACAAATACATATATAACAGACAAATATACAAGATTACAGATTATATAGTTATTGTTATCATGAGAATGTTTTAGCTTATATATAATTAAAATAATATATTTATGCAAAATTTTTTGGATATTGTGGGTATGTGAACAAAATATAGTCACGATGCATACGACACTTCACCCCTGCACCCATTAAAAAATTAAAAATAAAAATTTCCATGCATTTATTTCTTTGTGTCCTTGATAAAAAAAATATGCATAGAATTAAATTAAAACAGCTAGCAGACACCTAGCCATACGTTCGAAAAAATCTTTTTGTTTGATTTCATACAATTACACGTCCACTTGCTCATGATAAAATGAAAATATGAGATAATTAATTGATATTCTAAAAGGTTTTTTTTCGATTTTTACTGTTGTTGTTCCATAATTTCTTGATTACATGCATGTACGTATAAGTTGATGAGTGCATAATTCTTTATAATTGAATGAATGCATTCATCGGGAAATATTCAGATGTATCAATGCCTCTTCCGATTTATTGATTGTTTATCGTTTAAAGTCCCTCTCGAGAATTTTTTACTCATATGGAGACGCCACGACTTGCCTGTGGAGAGCTGCAAATTTTGTCCTATGCTCTGCACTTAGGGCCATTGAGCAGGGAGGGATCTTTATCGTGCCAACACCTACAACACCTACTGCGACTCGGGACCTCGTTTATACGATCGCATTCGAAGGACCGGTCTCCACGTCCCACAGTGGGATTCGAACCCGCAAAGTAAGGATTATTTAGGCCTTTGTGCAAAGAAGAATCCAGGATTTTGAAATTGTTTCTTAATTATTTTGTGCATCTGAACAGCGACATAGAATAGTTCATGAATTTACAAAAAGGCTATACGGACATGATGAAAATGTGAATCGCTTGGAATAATCCATTTCATCAAAAAATAGTAACACTGCAATATTTTGCATCAGTATATTATATCATTTTTTTTCTTCAGAGAACTGTTTCATTGTAAAATACAGCAGGTAAAAGTCTGGTATACAATTCCAATGTAAATCAGCAAGCACAATGTCTAGCTTTTTAGGTTTGATCGCATATTTCGGATTTTGGAAATATTGATTTTCATACAGCCTGTCGACGTGACGTCAGGCAATTACAAAAATTATCAACATCTAATATACAACTTTATTTAATTATAATAGGATAAAAGAGTGTACATGTTTTATGATGTATGAATCTGTTTTTAACGCCAGAATCATCACAATTTCTTCAATCGCCATTCCCCCATTCGATACTGAGGACGCCCATTTTTTTGCTGGCCTTATACAAACTAATGCATGATAGTCTATTGTTCTCCTTTTTACAGGTGTGTATTGGCATTGGCACAGAAGATTAATAGACAAACATGAGCTTATTGTTAAACAAGAAAAAAACCTGCTTCTTATTACATGTACATTCGCGCTCTCTGTTGTAACCAAGGTCTGTGACACGTTGAATATTATAATTCACCACGTGATATCTTTCATCACATAAACGTCACAGGACTTATAGGTAGTATTTTTTGTGTAAACTGGGACACTGTGCTCGAACATGTTAAATAGTCCGCCATCGATTTAAAATATTATTTACTTACATGAATGTGTTATGTTTAAGAGCTTTGTAAATATAAATACGTGTACCATACATAATAAATGGGAAGATGGACAATAATAATTTCTTATTTTTTAATACATGTCATTTATTCTGCCAGTCTAATTTTGAATCAATTCTGATGAAGTTAGCTCCTCCTCCAATCCATGCATAATGATCAACCAGGGGCAGGTAAGTATAAACTCTATATATTTGGAAAAGTTAAGGACAAAAACATGAAAACATGAACATGAAAATCAATTTTAATATTTAAATTGGATGTCAAATTGACAGAAATCTGAAGTGTATGTATAAGAGTAAAATAATGTTACTCTAAGAGTAAAATAATGTTACAATCTAAATTCAATAGAAGCGACCGAAGAAAGGCCCAAAACGCAGCGTTAAGTGCAGTCATCCTTTATGAACTGATCGGACAGATATATGTGTATGGCCAATGGTAAATAGAACGCTACAGGTTTTTTTGCCCGGTGCACATAGCTATTAGAACAAAAGAAACGTTTATTCGAAAAGGTATTTTTTATACGGTACCTTTAAAAGATAATATATATATATTGAATGATAATGATGGATTTCTTTCTTTTTTACCTCCATAGGTCCAACCAGAGAACACGCTACCATCTTGATCACACACTGCCTTATCCACCTTCTGGTCAAGACGTTTAGAGGCGTCCAACACCACAACATAGAAAGCTCTCCTGGTCAGGTAAATCTGGTGACAGGCGTAGTACGCACACTGTCCTCCAAAGTCAAAGAATGTCAGAGTCTTAGAGTCAACATTTGTAGTATTTACTTTTTCACGATTCTCCTGGCTTTTCCTTGCTAAAAAGAGTCATAAGATATCTCACACACCATCATTTTTTTTCATCAAAATATAATGAAAAAAGCAATAAAATAGTATTTTTGACATGTTTGTTTTAAGGATGTATTTTTCTGATCATTTCACCCCAAGTGGGTCTTCGTACATAAACATGTCGTAAAATGCAAACTGATAACAATTCATCAACAAGTTTTAAAAGTTTTATGATTCACATGTTAAACTATATTTATTTTTAAATAGAAAATCTTTCTATGTTGTATTAATGACTAAGACGTGTGCAAAATTATGATATTTACGACATAGGCCTAAGAAAGTCAACAAGTGAAATCGACATGATTGAGAGGGGAAGAAGACGGGGTCGCCCGTTTCAAAGCGACAGGAATGTCGAAGAGCCAACCGATACAAATTTTAGAACATTTAAAAAATTGTCGGTATCACAATTAGGCCTACAGGTACATTCTCGAAAGCGGTCCCTAAACATGCCAGCCAGGAGCGCCGAACTGTGTTGGCGACGTTCCAGTGCCAGTGGAAAATCGAAAATGTAGGTTTCTAATGCTTTCAAACTTATTGAAAGTAGCAATGTTTATGCATTATAGATACAAAAGTTTCAAAATACATAGTTTACACATCGTAAAATGAAACAAGGCATAAACATGTTACATAACGTTAGAACTAAGGGGTCTTCAGATGAAATTATCACACTTATTTTTAATATTTGGTGAATAAAACACATACTCTGACGCCTAAATGCCTTGATTCATTCTCATTAAATGCTGAAAAAGAAATAGGGGGTGGGGATATAAAAAATATCAAAACTTTCTTACATGTACACTTACACCTACTTTTCATGCTTTGAAAAGGAACCATAATACCTAAAGAAATTGTGCTACAATTTTCTGAAAAGTTAAATTGTAGAAATATGTTTTCTCTGGTTTTTCAAGCAATTTTATAGGAAAAAATTTGCCTTTTTTTGACACCGGTGAACAACATTTTTGGGTACAAATTATCTAATTTGTGTTTATTTGCTCATATTTTGCTTTAAAAATTAACTTCGCAATACGTTCAAGTAAATTTTAGCCATATTACGTTTAAATTGATTGTATTTATAAGTTTATGAGGTATTTATATGGTCTAATAAGTTTTATTTTAATGAAATTTCCCATGCTCTGTTTTGGCCTGTGTTGGAGGGGTTGGATCTCTCTTAGATGAACACTAACGTACACTTTTTTGTCCTTAAATTATTCCTTGGGTATAACACTTTCAGAAAAAATATAAGCATGTGGAAAGTTTAATGCACGTTTTTTTCCGGGTATCAGAAGAATACATCCTTAAATTCATAGTATTTAAAAAAATATATAATTTTCTTTCAAATAACAAAGTACTAAAATTACAACACAGGAAGTAATTTACATGTATATGCATGGTTACGTATATCATTTTATTTCTACTGTCGACAAAAACATATCTATCATCCTAGCTGTTAAAAAAATCATGTTTCGCCATGCTTGTTTTATTTTAAATTGTTAAGAACAAGTCGCATAAATAAAGAGAAGTTTATTGACTTATTTTTTTTTGGGGGGGGGGGTCACAGGTTAAAGTTTTTATGAAAAAATATTGGGGGAGAAAGTAAAAAAGAGGTCATATTTAGTGTGTGCAAAAAAGCCATCTTTCCCTAATTCTCTTTTCTCTCTCAGGCTAAGTAGCATCATTTTGTTACCTTTTAATGATCTTGTTTCATCACATATATCACATATTTCCTCATGAACCTCCAATCCCTCTGTAGATTTTATATCTCTAATATCTTCTTCACTGCATCCTAGCAGACGTTTAAGGAGCGTAGTTTTCCCCGCCCCAGCACATCCTACAATCATCCCCCGGGCGTGGTGGACTGTCTGTGTTCCTCTCTTAGCGTACTCCATATATCGCTCTCTGGCTTCCTTGTCCCACACTAGTATTTCCTCTGGGACTCTAACTATACCGTGTTAAAGAAGAAAGAATTCACAAGAAAGATACGCATTTCCTTTTACTTCAGTTTCATGTAAAAAAAAAATTGAAATTTAACAGACTAGTCCGAAAAATCTGACGTTTTCCTGGCTTTTTTACGATTTTGGATATTTTTCATGCCAGGAAAACGTCAGAACCGGTGTAAAGACGAATAATGACCCCAATAGAATAATGACCGGGGGTCATTTTTCAACGACAAAAAATGACCCCCACCCGTAGAAAAAAATCATTTTTTGTAGAAAATGGGTCCTAGGGGGTCATTATTTTATATGTTAGTCCTATAAAATAATGACCCCATTGAAAAATGACCCCCTTTAAAGTGATACAAAATATACACTCTTTGATATCTTTTTTACAGCGAAACTAATTTTTACATTTTCTGTAACCAGAAAAATACAAAAAGTCGTATGAAATAATTTAGAGATTCACGTAGTCTTTCAAAGCTAAAATGGTGTTTGAAAAGAGATTCTTTAATTGTCAAGTAAATAAAATTTCTTTTTAATATTCCTCCTTTATAGAGTTTGCTTAAAGAATAATACTCAACTTGTTTTTAGAAATCAAGTCATGCAAAAATCAGGTTTAAATACTCTTCAATAGGAAAAATTAAATTTTCCGTCATTTCAACTTTTAGTTTGTTTAAGTTTGGCAAATCCTACTTGACAATTAAAGAGGAGGAAATTTTTATCCCCCCCCCCAAATAAAGAACATTACGTTAAATCAAAACAAAAAATAATAATAATAAATGAAAAGCAAAAATATAAATAAAACTTTATACCTTTCAATAATTCTGAAAGAGGCTCTAGATAAAATATTGAAATGAAGTTAAGCCTTCACACAAGTACTATCATATCATAATTTACTTCGCGCCATGATTAAAGCATACTTTAAATGTTGGTTGAGGTATACCTGAAAGTATTGTGGCAAAGTAACAGTTAAAAATTAGTAGAATAGTAGATTATTTTTAGCTTATTTTTAATTCCTTCTTATAGAAAAATAAAGGTAGGGTGTTTTTTTTTTTGCTTTTGTTCAATATCGACTTCCTTTTAAATAAGAAAGGGGGTGGGGTATGTAAAAGACCTAAAAATATGCTCTGTAAAGCTATGGGCTAGTGTAAAATACACAGTGATTCTAATGCAAAAACTATACATGTAGACATAAACTTTTGATTTAGCACACAGTATTCATTACATTTCTTTTAACGTAGAACCTACTTCGTACGACTTCATAACTGGTAAATGTGTTAAACCTGTGCTAACCCATTAAGACGTCATAATTAATTTAATGCCACTTTTTACCGTACTTGACAGCAGCTTCAATGAAAATGGTAGAAAATACTGCATTTTGAAATTCAAATAATTCAATCATGCCAACATAATCTTAATTCAATTCATATATTTTTTGGTTTATAATGCTTAATGGCAATATATTTCTGGAATAAGAGAAAATATGTAGGCACCTTTTATTTACTAGATCTAGACCTGAAGTTGACAAACCCAAGACTATCTAGTGTAATGAAATTACAATGTACATACAACTTTCGTAATAATTTGAATGGTATGTAACCATTTTCAAGGAATGCATAAATCGTAAGAAATCTTTAGTTGCCAGCTATTTAGTGTAATGTATTGATGAAATGTGTCTAAGTCAAAGATGTACGTGTTGTAGATCGTTTGATCGTGTGTACATTTTTTTGATATCTATAATGAAATGATGTGCATTCTTTTTAACAATTATTTGTTACCTATTCATATTCTTGGTGTTTGATTACAATTTTTTAATTACATATGATCTTTTTAAAGTAAAAGTACAATTTCTGATAAATATTTAATCTGAAAGTAACCCCAAACAGTCATTTAATTATTAAATCCCGTGTAAGTGCAAAAAGGTCAAGAATATGAGTATCGGTAAATAGCCTATCGTTCATTAGTTAGAGGGGAAAGGTATATATTTTACTCATTTTCTGTAATCATTAAAGGAATGTTTTTCAGTTTAGTGTGAGTTATTGGTGTGTGAATCACACAGACTTGTCACGTAGGCATATTTCATGAAGCGCGCTATCATGAAAAATATGCCTACGTGCAAGTCTGTGTGATTCACACACCAATAGTTCACATTAAACTGAAAAAAAAATTCCTTATATTTACATTTTACATGCTTTGAAGCAACTAAAATATGCTAAATATTTGAATTTCTCGCTGCCCTATCTCTTTGCATCTTTACTAACGTCGCTAAAGATTCATTGTGACGTCACGTTAACGCACATTTCTCCGTGTAGATTTCTACGCGTGAGTATACCCCAAAAATGGTTTTCAAATCAATTTCACAGTTGGCTTACTAGAAAATCACAGTGAATGTAAATATTTGGCTATGTTCTTCATCATATTGAAGATTGAAAACATTGTGACAAAGACTTCTAAAAAATATTTACAAATATAAAGTGCATAATTGACTAAAAATTATAGAGTTCATTTGACTATTTTTTTTAATGGTGGACTTATCTTTTATGTTAATTGAATGAAAAAGAAATTATTCCTGATAAAATATTGTTTAATATTATTCAGTTAAAAAAGTTTATAAACGACGATGTTTGAAGAAGTATTTTTGTGATTTTTCATATTCCCTTTATGACAAGTACTCCTAAAAAATTTGAAAATGTGAAGTCGCAGTATGTAAATACCATACCAAGTTTCACAGCCTGTTCTAGATTAAAAAACAAGGAAATATATCATGATATCTTAACTGATTGATAAGCAAGTACTAATTTATCATTTTGAAAAGTTTGAAAGTCTTGTGACAAAGACTTTTCCGACATAGGTTCTACCTTTATTCTTGTTTTACTCCACCCTTTTACTCAGTTTTGAGTATATTTTTCAGAGAATTTAATATGAAAATCAAAACAAACATTTTCATTGTTGTAACGTCTTCTTTATAATGTATATTAATATGAAAAGATAATTGAAGACCATTTCTTTTTATGTCCCCGTAATCGAATATTCGGGGGTATATAGTTTTATCCTGTTCTTCTGTATGTCTGTCTGTCTATCTGGCGGTTTGTTTGTCCGCAAAAACCTTAACCTTTACCATAACTTTTCATTTTTTGGAGCTATTACTTTCATATTTAATATGTATATTCCTTGTGACAAGACCTTACTTTGGGTACCACTAAATTTGACCTTTTGACCTTTACCTTGGAGTTTGTCCCATTTTACACAAAAATGTCAAATTTTTACTTTGGCCATAACTTTTAAACGGTAGATACTAGTACTCTCATGCTTCAAATATGTAGTTTTTTGGCATTACCTCTCATTGGATACTAAAAACCTTGACCTTTTGACCTTGACCTTGGAGTTTTCCGTACTTATGATTTTTTTTTACCTTGGCCATAACATAAGGGCTAGGGTATTCATACTTCACATATGTAATCCTTGTTACATTAAACATTTTCTTAAGAAATCATCAACTTTGACCTTTCAGTTTGAGCTACCTTTCAAAAATTTATCCTTGGCCATTACTTCTGAACAAGTGGTGCTAGGGCTTACCTATTTTGCAGTTGTATTTCTTGTGAGAAGACACTACTTTGGGTAACAATATATTTAAATTGCATTTAAGAAAAGTTTAATCTTCACTATGTTGCCATACAGGGGCATAGCTGTTTCACAAACACATCTTTTTATATATGAGGATTTGCGGATAAGAAATGGATACCTCAAAGCTTAACAGACGGACGGACGGATATCCCGATCACTATATACCCTCCCGCTTTTCAAGCGGAGGATATAATATTATATAATACTGCTGATTTTTTCTGTCAGTTCGATGATTTCCACCATCAAAAAACAATGTTTACCTAACCCTTAAGGCTTGATAAATCTTTTACTCCTTTAGGTTCTGAATCATTGCATTTACCTTACAATATGGCTATAATTGTATAATGTTATGAGATCAACATATCATCAGCTTATTCCCATTGAGCTCAAGTGAGCATTTTGGCCAATATGCTTCTTTATCTAATTTTTTTGCCCCCCTAAAAATTTTAGCTTTAATATACAGGGGGTCATTTTTCTACGGGGGTCATTTTATTTCACGTGGGTTCTGCAAATTTTTAGAGAAGTGACACTTTTTCTACGGGCAAAAGGGTCATTTTTCTACGCCGAATAATGACCGGGGGTCATTTTTCGCTGTCGAGATATGACCCCCGGTCATTATTCGATGGGGGTCATTATTCGTCTTTACACCGGCGCCATTAGGTACACTTGGAAGTCGCCGCCTCCAACTGCTGGGAGGCGGCATTCTCGAGTTTATTTTAAATACTTGCGATCTGAATTAAATTTCAAAGTCAAAAGTTATCAATAGTACAATACTTAAAGAACTTACCAGTATATTTTTTATGGATCATTTATGAAAAAATTAATCCGTTGAAAAAGGTTTTATCACACTGTCGAGATTTGTCTTCGTTACCTGCATTTTAAAATCTTTCATTTCCTGTTACGAAATTTGGAGTGATATTTTCTTTTCACCGATATAGGTGAGTACTAGAAGCATTGTGCTTTAAATAAATTCTGATTTTGGCATTTAGTTCGGTTCACAAGTATTGAAAATCAACTCCAGTTGAAGACGGCGAAATTTCCAGTTTTCGTAATGGCGCCGGTTCTAACGTTTTCCTGGCATTTAAAATATCAAAATCGTTAAAAAGCCAGGAAAAGGTAAGATTTTTCGGACTATTAACAGACCTGTTAGAAGTGACTTCTTTTGACATTCTTAATAACTAAATTTTTATGATGTTGATATTGATTTTTTTTTGCACCAACATGTATTCAACTAAATTGCAATATCATTTTACTTAAATTTGTATCCCATCCTCCTCAATCATTCTCTTTTTATCTGTTTACGGAGTTTCTCTTTTTTTCAAAAACACCACTCTTATCTAATGTAGATTTGAAAGTATTTTTTTATCCTGCAACTACATGTACATGTACCCTTTGCATTGACCTAATAAAGGTAACATTATAAACCAAAGTTATATTCGGTCACTGCCCTAATAAAGCCACGTGGATGTATTCCGACGTTCTAAAAGCATTGGAACGTCACGTATACTGCAAAGTAAACCCATAGCGTCATAGTATCAAATGCAGGGATGTACCTATAGCTGTCGAAAATAGCTTGTTTTTGGTGGTTTAAATGTAAAATGTTGTTGCAGGATGAACAAGATAGATGATAACTGTCTTGAAATATAAGCGATATTTGGTATCGGGTTGAAAATGTAAAAGGGCTCGAAAAACCTCGCCGTCTATCACGTTTTCTTACCCTCGCCCAAATATTGCTTATATTTCAAAAACAGTAACCATATATTTTATATTTCTCAACATCAATGATAAGGATGTTAATGTCCAGAGGTTGAGTAATCAGATATGAAGATAATGAACAAAAATCCAGCTCTGGAGGAACAGGGTTTTCCTACTAAATATGATTATTACCTGTTACAATGTATTTCTAAATACACCATGATTTAATTTGAATCCATTGATCTTGAAGTGTGACCTACTATTTAAAAGCGTTGACCGTTGTCATAACTTTTGTATTAAAAGAGAATTAAAGACCCAATTTTTTTACCGTACGGTTACCTGAGGAGGGGGAGTGGTCGAAGTAACAGTGGTGTTATTTACCTGGAGACCCCAAATACCCAAGATGTCAAAAATCTGTGTATACGTAGCACTACACAGGAAGTCTGTGTTTGGTAATCGGGGTCATCATAACGTGTTTTGTGTCTGGTTTTGAGTGAAACTACGTAAAATAATTATTTCGGTATGAAATTTATTTGTAAACTTAACGCATTCATCGTAATCATGGTAATGTTTTGAAGGAAAAAAAAATAAGATACATGTTTATCGTTTTAGAAAATGTTTTCCTTACATTAAGATAAATCACGAGTAAAAACTACAAATCAATAATATTTATCTTTTTCAGTCTTCGATAAAAGAAATCACTTGGTTAAAAAGGTCTGAATATTGAAATAAAAAAAAATATTAATTCACCTATCCGTCGTGCACGTGAACATGCATTTACCGCGATCGGAATGTTTTTTTCCCCTGGCCAACAATGTTGTCCAAAATATTCCATATTTTTGATTCTTTGTGTGTTAACAAAATTTTATTGTTAGAAAGATTTCTTTTCAGAATCGATCACTATTAATTATCTTCAAACGCGAGGAAATTCGAGCATTAATTCTGACATCAATTTCTGTACAAAATTGTGTGGATTGTAGCCATAGTACAAAATAAAACATCTTTTTAAAATATTTGCTATGCCGTTTATTAGTTCTGAATATTTTTCTTGTATCCCATTTCTTAAAAATATTTTAAATCGTCGCCCGGACTTCCAATTAAGGCAAATAAAGCCGGTTTCTGTGGACGCGGTCTTTTTTCTACAGACAACGTGGACGATATAACACTTACAAGTAACAAACAGCAGTGGAGATAGAAAAGAAATATTTTATAATGTCAATGTTTTAATAATCTACCTTAAATTATTTTTTAAATAATATTTAAACATATTGGAGTTTTCTAACCCGCGTGTATACTATGCGAACATGAAAGAGTTTGACGCGTTACCAGGCAATTGTTTTCAAAACATGGCAAACTCAGATCATCAAGAAGCACAGGTAGCTGACCTGTCAATCAAATCCGAAGCTATTGTTTTTTTATGATTGACAGGCGGTAAATTATTGATCTTGAATCAGGTAGAATTTGGGGGCGTTAACATAAAATTGGGTGTTTAAATGAAATTCAAATTTCTTTATGATCATGTTACCTTCGGTTCAATCTATTTTTCAAAATTTAAGCATTCCTTTTTTTTTGATAACTTTGAAAAAGAAAAAAAAATAGGGCTATCATATTATACACAGTTATTACCTGTAAAAAAACCTTTCTATTTTCATAATGGTTTTTAACACCGGGACCCATCGTCGGAAACCCACGGGTGATCTCGTCTTTAAAGACAAGATCACCTGTGGGTTTCCGTCGATGACCGGGACCATGACTTTGACGTTTGAAATACTTTTTGAAATCTTTTAACTCTCTTCATAACTTTTGATAGAGAAGATATAGTGCTTTCATTTTCACATATGAAATATCTGTGGCAAGATAATTAAAAATTACACCCATTTTCGACCACATCATCTTGAAGCTAAATTTGTGAACTTTCATTAAACGTTTGTTTTTCTTTGTCCACGGCGGCGAGATTGACTATTTCTCACGAAGAATAAAGAAAATCTTTAAATGAATATTACACATAAGGGACATACGGGATGTAGAGTTTAAGGCATTGACATGGCTATATATTTTTTAAATGAATATTAATTTAAATTCATCGCGAGATACTTCACTAGAAGAAAAAAAACTTTCAGTGAAAATGAAAAACGGCTTTTAGTGACTTTTCGACGGCCATTCTGTCACTGAAGAGCAGTGAACCTTTTGTAACTTTCAGCTCACGACCTCATGATTACGGAGCGAGTTTGCGCTTCTACCGACTGAGCTACTCTAAACGGCTGGGCACATGTTGGTAAGCGATGATTTTTTGCATTTGGAATACAAATTTGTAAAAAATCTGTGCTAGTGAATTCTATAAGACCAACAAGCATGCATGCGCGTGGATTGTAAGAATTATGTGCTTTTTGAAGGCACTAATACTTGTGGATAGGTACGTCCGGTCCAGGTAGGGCTTTTAATTAATTGGAAGTTGACCTGCTCCAAAAACTTTAACCTGTTCACTTATCTGGAAAATGTAGGTCAGATTCAGCATCCGAAGGAATTGTGATCATATATATCCCTAGATGCATCATACACGCAAGTTTAGTCAAAGTAGGATAGTTACTCGGGAATAGACCTGCTCAAAACACTTAAACCTATATGGTTCATTATCTCTAAAACATTAATTTATTTCGTTATCATTGTTTTGTCTCCTACGGTAATAATTCCCCTTAATTCTGATGCGTTTGTCGATCGTCAACACGCGTTTCATCAACAGGAAACGAATGCAATTTTCTTCGATTTGAAGCTCGTAAGTTAACTTTAAACCCTCTAATTAATCTCAGGAATAAAAAAGAACATACTCTTAAATAGTAACATTTCCAGTGGTTTAAGAGTTAGGGCTCTTCTCTCTGTTGTTTATCCCCTTGAAATATATACTAAGATTAAAAATTCAATTCAATATTTTGTGGGAAAGGAGGAATATTATGCTGCCTTATCATATTCAAAGTAACTGAATCTTTATATCTCGAATTCTGATATATTGATAATTAACTTTTAAAAATTCTTTTCAACCTCAAGAAATCCAGATTATCAAAGATTCTTTTAGAATTCATCTTTTATTACATTTTAATGTATAATTATTAGAGGTATAATACAGAAATAATACTCACAACGTTGACTGATCCTGATATGAATCTCCCGGTCAGACACGGTACAGTGTGAGATGATGTCCAGCTGTAGTTTCTCTATGAAGAGGTAGTACATCTTCTCCGGTTCGTTCGGTACATACAGACATTTCTCTCCCTCACTCCTTTTGTAACCCCAGGACCTGCAGTATTGTGATATCACGTCACGTGACGCCGTGGTCAGGAAAAACTCCAGATCACTGTCCTCCACCAGACACTCCGTAACAAAGGCGTACATGACGTCATGTCGGATGTCGTCTGATATAAACGTTGCCTCACCATTATGTGTTTTCTTGACATCACGCTGAAGGGATGTCACATCAACATTATCAGACAGAGAAATCTTTTTAAAATACCTTTCTCGTATCTTTATCACTATTGACTTGAACGCCTCTCCTTTTACATTAGCAGTGTACTTGTCACACAACAGTAAACTGTAAAGAAGACATCTGTCCACTCCTAAATATTCATGATATTTGCCTAAATTGAACGAAATCAAAAAGTTAAATGGGTTACATGCATTACCAATAACAGGCTAGGCCAATGTATTAAAAGATTTATAAGAGCATATTTTTTCTTAGACAATTCTACTAAGTTTTTTTTAATTTTTAGACAAAAAAGACAATTTTTGATAAAACATCATCTTTCTAGGATTGCCTTGTTACAACGCACTTTGAAAAATTACGCACTTTGAATTTTTTTTTCAAAGAGCGTTAATTTTAGGACGAAGCTAACGCATTTTGAAAAAAAAATTATTTTTTTTTCAAAGTGCGTTAATATCGACCATATTAACGCACTTTGAAAAAATGTAAAGCTTGATCAATATTCTTACAAATAGTCAGTATGATAAATAGTTGACCCTGGATTGACAACATTTTTATGATAAGGTCACTTCAGGACCTGAGATATTGACGTTTTAAATATTTCAGGTTTTGATTTATTTTATAAAAGAAATGGATATTTTAGAAAAAAAAATTATTTCGTTTCTTTTTGAAATTCTAGTCTGTAATAGGTAAATGTAGGGGGGGGGGGGGGGCTAAAAGTGACTATGAAAATTCTCTCTGTCTCATACGTTTTACTGTACTTAATAATTTCTAGTTTTCATCTGTTTTAAGTTAACTCATATATTGAAAGTTTTCAACGTCATACCAGTAATGTCCATGTTTTGGGTATAGCATAGGCATCGACAACGAACGAAGGGCAAGGGGAGGAGGATTTAGCCCCCTCCCCCCACTTGTTTTGAAAGATATACATCACATAGGCATTGAAAATGCAATTTATCGGGTTTATATTATTCTCCTTCCCACGTTTTATTTGTTACCGACGCCTGTGTATTCAAAGAAAATGCGTTGAGAGATCTTCTACCCGTATTCCCCTTTTCTCGACCGGAGTAAATCAATTCATAAGTTTTTTGAAAGATAAATAACACTGAAAAAAAAAATTCCATTAATAAAATCTTAATCCAGAATTTCGGTTTTTATAATTTTTTTTTTCAAAGTGCGTTTAGTGTCTCCATGGTAAAATATATTGATGTAAACCTTTACGCACATTGAAAAAAAAATTCAAAGTGTGTTGAGTTGGTCCCATATTTAATGCACTCTGATTTTTTTTTCAAAGTTGGTTGATTTTGTTTTGATTTTAACGCACTTTGAATTTTTTTTAAAGTGTGTATTTTTTTTTAAAAGTGCGTTGCCACATTGACTTTATATTCTATTTTATACACACAGAAATGAAAAACAATTGTACAGTTTATGAAAGCCGTACTATTGCATGGACTTGCTCATTTTTTTTTTAACTAACTCGAGATTGTGAATGAAATTTTTAAACTTTTAGTTGCTGGGAGGGGGGTCTACTTCTCTGAAAAGCTATTTATGAAATTAGATATAATAATTATTTTTTTTTGTTTCTATAAATATAAAAGAAATTTAATAATGGCATAGATTATCATGTTTTCAAAGTGATCGCAACATAGAACAAGTTGTTTTCGAAAACAAGCAATAAACAGTCACACGAAAAAAGGAGTGTGTTACACTGTAGGTATAATTGAAAACAGATTTTTATTCTAACGAAGAGACATACATCTCATTGGTTTATTCATCTCATTGGTTTATTCACATTTTACATGCTGTATAAAGTTGAATATTTCAAATAAACAAAATTTATGAAGTTTTGAAATGGACATTTGAAGTTTGGTGCTTGTGGTCAATGGGTCTGCATTGATCCAAAGCACTGCGAACATTCAACTAAAACATGCTAGAATGCCTTTACCGGTCTATAAATCTTCAAATGATTTAATATTTGGATAGGGGCAATAAAATTGTGCATTGCTAATTGTGCAGTGGAAAATTAGAATTGATTATAATTTTTCATACAACGTTCACTGGCACATAACACATTGTCGAAAAATCGTATACAATGCGAGTATACTAGTCAAAAAAGACAACTCTTTGATCATGTTGATCACAACAACTAATAGATTTTGTGTTTTTTTTTTCACGTTTTAAATGTGTTGTACATGTTGTCTTGGTTATTAATGTTTTTTATGATCAATTAAATGTTTCTTTATTTATTTTCTATGAATTTTCAATATTAAAAAGATCAGACGTTCCTCATTATTTGTTAACTGAGTCTGTGCAATAAAGATAAAGAACAGTGGGACGGACAACTTCGGAATGGACATTTTTCCGAACTTGCGCACCCTTTTCCTTTAAAGCTTTCATCTTAGGGTTTTTTTAAATGGTGGGGTTTTTATAATCAAATTGATTTATGAAAAAAAAAAATTCAACATTTTCTGATAGTTTTTGAGATATTTGAGTTCAAACAAAAAAAATCCCATGGGGAAACATGAACTTAAAAATACCCCACAAAAACCCCATGGGGTTTATCCCCCCAGGGGAAAAACCCCACAAAAATCAATGTAGGTTTTTTAAACCCATATGTTGCTTATATTGTCATATGAGTTTTTTTCTCCCACGTTTCTTTATTATGGGGTTTTAAATCCCATGTATTGATATATTTACTGTGAGATAATTCCTAAAAACTTGGTTTTTCTTCTTAGACTTATGGATCATTAGTATCTTCTCTGTTTCTCATTCTATAAAAGTAGATAGTTATAACAAATATCTATCATTTTTTTTCAAATTTTCAAGTATTCATTCTTCAAATTTTTGGTTATGTAAAAGAAGATTTATATGAAAACAGGTTTCTAGGGCAGTTGCCTCCCATAATGAAACATTCATCATAAAACTCTTTACAGATTATTTGATCGATGACAATTAATCAGAATATTTAAAAAAATGAAACAAGAAAATTTAATACCAACACAATATACACAATAGAAACCAATTCACAGTGTCCAAAGAGGTTACCTTTCCTTAACTAATATATATTTATATATGTTAGGTTTATATGATATCTAGTTTGTGGATTTTTTTAAAATTTCCATTCCCCTTGCATTCACCACTAATAAGATTGGATTTATATAATTCATGTGCAATATATCTAAATATTGAATTAATGGAACTCATTCTGTTATATATCACAAAGTACAACTATTAAAATCTTTTGATTCACCCAAATATTTAAAAAAATAAAATATTTATGCCTCTTGGATCCACCACTTATGAGTTTAGATCATGACCACACATGACATATAAGCTTATTGTTTAAAACCAATCAGCCATAATCATTAATATCCTTGATACACCACAAATATTTCTTTAAAAAAATGAATATCCACTCCCCTTGGATCCACCACTAATAAGTTAAGATCTTGATCACATATGATATATAAGATTAAAGTTTGAAATAGATTAGCCATATTCATTATTATCCTTTTACCCACCACAAATATTTAAAAATAATATCCGCTCCCCTTAGATCCAACACGTTTAAATTCAGATCATGTTCACACATGACATATAAGCTAAATGTTTGAAATAAATTAGCCATAATCATAAATCATTAATATCCTTTGATCATTCACAAATATTTAAAAAAGATAAATATCCACACCCCTTGGATCCACCACTTATGAGTTTTGATCTTGATCACACATGACATATAAGTTTAATGTTTGAAATCAATTAGCCGGAATCAGTAATGTCCTTTTACCCATCACAAATATATAAAATTAATATCCACTTGCCTTGGATCAACCACTTTGAAATTAAGATCACGAGCTAAATGTTCGAAATAAATTAGACATGATCATAAATCATGAATATCCTTTGATCAATCACAAATAATTAAAAAAGACAAATATCCACTCCCCTTAAGCTCGGATCCACCACTTATAAGTTTGGATCTTGATCACACATGACATATAAGCTATATGACCATAATCATTATTATCCTTTGACCCATTACAAATATCTATCTACTCCCCTTACATCCACCACAACTATCATGGCAATCAAAACAATTAATATCCACTAGCTTGGATCCACCACTTCTTAGTTAAGATCATGATCACTCACAGAAATATTAGCTAAACGTTGAAATAAATTTGCAAAAATCATCGGTATCCTTTGATGCAATACAAGTCTTCAAAAATTCAATATCAACTCCTCTTGGATCCACCACTCCTTAATTTAGACTATGATAATACATGACTTATAAGCTAAATGTTTAAAAATCATTTAGCCATAATCATAAAAAAAGATAGGACAAATAACGAAGAAAATATTACAACCTACAGTATTCCCTTAGATCCGCCATCGTGTCTTTTGATATTGATCACCAATCTGATTTATTCTTCTTTTTTTATCATTAGGTTAGGTATCTTTATTCTTTTTATGAATGAATGAATGAATATGATGAAAAATGAAATTAATTGCATCTCTATGCTACTCTGTCTGAATAAAAAAAAGCTGAAATAACCACTTAATATCAGCCAAAAAAGCAGGTACAATCAATATGATGAAATAAGACAACATATATACATTGTATACATGTACTACGCCTTTACGGTACCTTATTTACTACTAGTAATTTTTAAAAAGTTTATTCCTGTCATCAAATTAGCTCGACTGTTAAATCTACATTGGATAACGAATCAATTTAGGCTTTACATACATCATATACATTATAATTATTAGTAATATATAATTGGAATTCATCAAAAATGTTTTGGTTTCTAATTAGAAAAAAAGAAGTTCTGAAATTAATAAAACTAAATTTTCATCTTGCAAGGTGCAGTCAGGCAATATTGATCTCATTCTGACAATACCACTTTTTTTCATTGTAATAGATCTACATGTATGTCAAACTTGATATTTCTTTTTCTTATGATACTTCAACTTTCTAACTATAAACTAAATTATTGAAAGAAGATGTTTATTTTTACAGAAAGCATCTATATGCATTATCATGTCAAAGTCAGTCAATCACTTTTGATGAGTTCTTTTGATTTTTGTCCCCCACCTTAGCGAATATGAGAGGACATTTAATCTTATTCATCTGTCATCTGTTCAATGGTCGGCTTATCAATGTAAAAAAAAATCAAACTTTGGTCATATCTTTTGAATGAGATGAGATGGAGTTTTCAACATGTTCAAATTACACATATATTACCTGTGCAAATTATTCCTTCTTAATACAGATTACACAATCATGATTTTTTACCATGATATCTTAACCTTGAAGTATGACATACTTTTCATAAATATTAATTCTTCCTTATGACTTTGATTTAGAAGAGATAGGGTTTTCATATGTCTGTGGCATGATATTTCTGAGCATGCTATGATTTTTGACCCCTTGACCTTTGCCTTCATGTTTGACCTAATTAGAAAAAAAAACTTTGGAGCTACAGTAACTCTTCAATGACATATGATACCTGGCATTCTTATTTGACAAATATATTGTACATAAATTATAATAACATCTCACCCATAAAGACGCCAAAAGCAGGGGACCACAATTCTTTGAATTTGCTTGTTTTTTTTCATTCAATCAATCAATGGGTTAAATGAAATACAGACTTGAATTCTTGACTATAGAAAACATCTGTCATAAGTATTAGGAAGATCCTATGACTTCAGTTCAGGTTTCATTTTGGGTTGTAAATGTTCATAGTTACATGAATTGCAATTTTCTCACCGTTCGGTATTTAAATACATAGATATGAATGATATTCACATGATTCAGAAAAAAAAATATTAAAGATTCCATAATAAGGTATTTCCAAACATATCGTATGATTGCTTCTTTGTTTTCAAAGTGATAGTTTTGGTTCACAGTTTTTTAGAAGGAAAATAGAAATTTCACATCTATATCACTGCAGTAATGTTAAGATCCACCCTTGTGAGTACCCCATAAAAGTACATGCAGGGATTAATTATTGAACTTATTCACACAGACCTAATGTTATAGAATCCATAAATAAACTGAACTTGAACTTGATAAACCTTAGACTGTTAGACAGGCACAATGTGACATACTCTACTGATACATGTACATGGGACACCCTGACGGATATTCCTCCTCCCTTGAGTGTTGAGTTAGACTACATGTAAGACAGAAAACTAAAAAAGTTACATTAATTTTTGACCGTGTAAATTACCCTAATATCTACCACATATAGCTTGACTCCGTTTTGCAAGAAATGACCCATAAATTCATAGCCTGCTAATACTTACATCACTGACATGTAAACAAAACTAATTCCTTCAGACACCGACTGACAGCAGAATTCCAATTGGACATTTTATGATGTTAATGGAATAATTCACACACGCCAAATCAATCAGACTGATTTAAATAATCGCGTGAATTAATTCTTGTTAATATAAAGTTCTTAATTCCATCATTACATCAAGACAGGTGGGCTTCTTCCTTCCGCTCTTCTGTAGTGTAACTAAAATGGGTAGCGAAACCCGGGCCGGGTCGGCCGGGAATTTCGAAACTGAAAACCGGGTTTTTGACAATAACGGAATGAATACACATTCTTTCTTCATGAAATTTACGGACATAATTTATTACTATAAGATTTGCCTTCGCTGAAAGTTTTGAATTAAAATGTTATGTTTATCCATCATTATCGCCGATTGTCCTTTTCAAGGTGACTAAGGTAGTGAGCCCGGTTTACTCATTTTAGCGATTTACACTCAATTTCGGTAATATATTTAAAATAATTTCCGTTAGATCTTTGTAATTCAATTTAAACTATTTAAAACATCTTATATTTGTGAGGCGTTTATACTAACCCACCTGCAGAAGATTTATATATTTTTTTTCATTGTTGACTTTTCTAATTCATCTATTCATTCATTCGTTCGTTCATTCATTCATTCATTCATTCATTCATTCATTCATTCATTCATTCATTCATTCATTCATTCATTTATTTATTTATTTATTTATTTATTTATTTATTTATTTATTTATTTATTTATTTATTTATTTATTTATTTATTTATCAACACATGATTAATCAACCGTTACAAGCATATTACATGTAAATTAAGCCTTATATGTACGATCGTGAAAAGCCTCCCTTGCTCAGCCCCTTTATCAAGCACATGATATGGAATCGATATTTTTTGTTCACACCCGGTTGTCTCAAAAATAGTAAACCCCTTACTCTTCTCGGTCTGTTGTAAAAAAAATAATTGTATTTTTTAAACGAGGAAAATGGACTCCCTGGTCAATCTTCGGACTTATTTGATTGTAAATACATGATAGGAATATCAATGTCTAATTCATTAAATAAAAGTTAAATTCTTACGACCTACCCCACCCCATTAATCTATATTTTATAAATTTTATTCAATATAAATTATATTTTATCCCATATTACAAATGCATGGAAATCACGTATTTATGGTACTAGGTATGGATGGGGGAGGGGGGGGGGGCACATGTATGCAATCTTCAGCGCGTAGAGCATGGTCGAACCACTCTGTACACACTAGATAGAAATTTAAATATATTGTAAGATTCACCCTCAGGGCTGTATTCCGAGGGGTACATTGTAACCCAGACGTACATCACACGTGTATATATACAAGGTTTTGGTTCCACACCTAAGTAGTGACACCTGTCATTTCCTTTTTATATTGCATAACAGTCGTCTAGTCCCATCTTAGAGCAGTTTACATGTACTTTCAAGAAAGTTATTAATAATTTCCGGTTTTAAAATAATGGTTCAACATTTCTACCTCAACCTAGGAGTAAAACAAAAGATTGTACGCTTTTTTTTAATTCAAAGTTTTTAATATTGTTCTTATTAGGATCTGATTTTGAAGGAATTTAATCACATTTCACATCTCTTTTTTTCTATTAGGTTTTCAAACTCTGGACATCACTACTGGACGAAAAAAGTGCTGAGAATCCCAAATTGCACTGATAATGTTTGATAATTACTGATACGGTGCTGTTCTTGCTGATAATTACTGATATTTACTGTTATTATTACTGTTGTTGCTGATAATTTTAGTTGTTGCTGATAAATAATGATAAATACTGTCGTCTTTTACTGTGGACTCTGATAAATACTAATAAATACTGTTGAGGTACTGTCGCTGCTGAGAATTGCTGATAATTACTGTTGAGGTACTGTCGATGCTGAGATTTACTGATAATTACTGTGGTCATTGTTTTTAACCTGGGAATGGATTAAAATAGCCTGAGAAATGATTTTTTTTAATATTTTAACAAATTCATTACAGTCAATTACAAAATAAATTATTCTAAATAAAAAAGTCACATTTTATTAATTTGTATTCAGTTTTCATCTATTAATTTCATTATAATTATTTTTAGACCATAATGTTAACATAAGCTTTCATAAATGTTTATGTTTTTTTCTTTAAATTTCTCCTTACACGTAGATGATATTATCTGATGAAAATTATTCTGTTGTATTTGCATTGTTTTTTCTCCCCAAGTACTTTTTAAAAAAGTTTAATTTTTGTTCATAAAGGTTAAAAAAATCTCATCTCATATTTTTTCTCACATGTATGTGTACTGTCATCAAAAGCTTTTTGTGGGTATCTTTAATACTTCAATACAGTCAATGGTTGTAAATATCAATTTATTTTACCGTGTGGAGAACTGAAAATGCATGAGCACATTAAGTTGAACACCCCCCCCCCCTTTCCAATTACTTTTAAATTAAGCTCTCATTTTAACAAGACAGTATTAAATATTTTTCATAAAATCTAGTCTTGAAGCGTACAATTTGTTATTTTATAGAAGAATGTGACAGGGTTAAATAATTAAATTGAAGCATCTTTAATTATTTTTTTATATATATATTATGTAGACAGCGCGCTCTAGTTCTCCGATGTCCTCCCTGCGAATTTTATATCGTGTCGCTTTCTAGCTTTCTCTCTCTCCCTCTCTCTCTTTTAAATTATTTGTTAAGGCTTAAGTATTGTACACTACATGACATAAATCTTATGCAGTGTGATTTTCAGTCAATGAAATATACGTCTTTCTTTAGGCTAATTCTTTTTTCATTGTATACAGTTTTAAGTCTATGGGCATGTGGCTTCTAATATTATGCGCCACTACTACATGTTATATGCGGTCAGTCAGTTAAAAAACTAAATAAAATAGATCATAACTTGAATTAACTTTTTCCATTAATGCAAACTTTGTGCTTCTTGTATTGAACTACATGTCAACCACGAGTAAAAGTTCTACTTTCGTTTTAAAAAGAATCGGGTCAATTATTAGTACATTCTGCCATAGGGATATCGTTACGGTTTCCT